AGACTCCAACTCAAAAAAAAAAAAAAAGAGTGAATTCTGAAGTCACTCAACGTATGCAGTGCCTGGAAAAGTTGGAGGAAGAGATAGGCCTCCAGTCCGGGCCATTCTGAACCCAGCCCCACCTTGGGCCACAAACCCTGCCAATTTACAGAAGGAACTTGGAGAAATCCCCCTTAACTAATCCAAACAAGTGAGCCAGGACCTCGGAAGTGACCTGTGGCCCCAGGTCTATTTCCTGGCGTCCCCACACCTGACAAAGGGAGGGAGTTTACCGATTCTTGGGGGCAGCTCTCCGAGTTGCCCACAAGGACATGGGGCTGGCCAGGGAAATGGGAGGGCAGTGGTGACATGTGCAGAACCAGGAAGGGGAAGGCAGTTCAGGCCGACTGGACACTGCTGGGTGGATCTCCGAGGGCAGTGGCGGGACTCACCCGCCTGACAGCCAGGGCCTGGTTCTGCGGTGCTCAGCCCTGGGGCTGAGCTTCCGTCAGGCGCTGACTGGCTCTGTCCAGATATCCCTTCCAGAATCCTGTTCCAGCAAGGCCCTTCTGTGAGTAGGTTACAGGGGGAGCCTTTTTTCTAGAAGGGAAAGACTGACTTCTGCCAGATGGCCACAGTGGTTCACACCCCAGCACTTTGAGAGGCCAAGGAGGGAGGACTGCTTGAGTCCAGCAGTTCAAGACCAGTCTGGCAACATAGTGAGACCCCTGTCTCTAAAAAAAATATTTTAAAACAATATTAAGCCAGGCACGGTGGCTCATGCCTTTAATCCCAGCACTTTGGGAAGTGGAGCTGGGAGGATTGCCTGAGCCCACGGGTTCGAGACCAACCTGGGCGATATGGTGAGACCTCATTTCTACAATAAATCAAAAATTATGATGTTAGCGCATGCCTGTGGTTCCAGCTACATGGAAGGCTGAGGCAGAAGGATCGCCTGAGCCCAGAAGGTCGAGGCTGCGGTGGCCGTGAGACTGGCTCAAAAATAAATAAAATTAACCAGGTGTGGTGGTGCACACACCTGCAGTCCCGGCTACTCAGAAGGCTGAGGCGGGGGGTCACTTGAGCCTAGGAGGTCGAGGCTGCAGTGAGTTATGATCACATCACTGCACTCCAGCCTGAGCCACACAGGGAGACCCTGTCTCAAAAAAAGAAAAAAAAAAAAGAGAAAAAGAAGGGCCTGCTGTTCACTCTTGGCCGCCTGTTTCCATCCTTCGGCAGGTGGATCCCGTGAAACTGTGGCAGGCCATTCGCACAGTTCTTTTCAACCAGTTCGTGGTCTCTCTGCCCATGGTGGTCTCCTTCTATCCCCTCCTTAAGTGGTGGGGAGACCCCTGCCGCCACGACCTGCCCACTTTCCACTGGTTCCTCCTGGAGCTGGCAACCTTCACCCTGATCGAGGAAGTCCTGTTCTACTATTCACACCGGTGAGCAGTCCCTGCCTGGGCACAGCCGCCTCGGCCCTCCTCGGGGCTCACTAATCAGCAGGGAAACTGAGGCTATGGGGTGCTGGTCCTCCACCTGGTTCCAGCTAGCACCCCATGGCCTCAAGTCTCCCGTTCAATGGTTAATGGAGAGAGGACTATGTGTCCCATCCCTGACAACTTGGGACAACTGAGGAACATCCAGAAAACATGCCTTTCCCCACACATAGGAGACAGGACGGTCTCCCAACCCTTTCCTTACTGAATCCTTTCTGGGCAGCCTCCCTGTTTCACAGCCAACACAACTGGGAAAGAGAGGCTAAGTAACCCACTTGCAAATTCTGCAGCACCAGGGCTGGGGCTGGAACTCGAAGGCAGGCCTGAGGGCCGGTCCAGGGTGCTTTTGACTTTGCTCCGTGGATGGAAGCCCTCGTTCCCACCCTGGGCGTCTGCGGTCTGGGGGGGGGGGCAGGGGGAAAGGATCCTGCCGATGGTGAACTCTTCCCAGGCTCCTTCACCACCCAAAGTTCTACAAGAGGATCCATAAGAAACACCACGAGTGGACGGCTCCCATCGGTGTGATCTCCTTCTACTCCCACCCCGTCGAGCATGTGGTGAGTAGGGCTATCCTCTCCCCAGAGGTGAAGGACAGGTAGCCCGACCACCTTCCCCAAGGTCTCCTGCACAGGACAGACCACACTGGCCCGTCTCTCGTCTTCCCATGTAAAAACAGCCCCCATTTATTGACCCTCCATATGCCAGGCTATGCTAGGGGCCTAACACAAGTTACCTCACTTAATCCTCCCAACAACCTGTATTTTTTGAGTTGGGGTCTCACTCTGTCACCCAGGCTGGAGTCAGTGGCATGACCATGGCCCACTGCAGCCTCGGCCTCCTGGGCTCAGGGAATCCTTCCACCTCAGCCTCCCGAGTGGTTGGGACTAAGATGCGCATGATAGCACACTTAGCTAATTTTTTTTTCTTGTAGAGACAAGGTCTTGCTATGTTGCCCAGGCTGGTCTTGAACGCCTGAGCTCAAGCAAGCCTCTCGCCTTGGCCTCCCAAAGTGCTGGGATAGATGTGAGCCATGCATCTGGCCCCAACAACGGTTTAGTCCTGATTTTTGTAACCAGTCCCAATGTCTTCAACAAATCAAGGTCCTGGAACCCTTCCCTTCCAGCTTCTCCCGAACTGAGTCAAGGAAGTCTTCCTGTGATAGACCCAGCAGGGTCGCTCCATCTATCTGAGCCCTGCCTTTCTCTGTCCCCGGCCTTGCAGGCCTCCAACATGGTGCCAGCGATGCTGGGGCCACTGGTCATGGGCTCACACTTGTCCTCCATCACGATCTGGTTCTCCTTGGCTGTCACCGTCACCACCATCTCTCACAGTGGCTACCACCTGCCCTTCCTGCCATCACCTGAATTCCACGACTACCACCATTTAAAGTAAGGACTCTTCTCCATAGTGGGTCCCTGGCGAAAGTCACCACCCTCGCTTCCCAAGCTTCTGTGCAGACACACTGGTGCCTCAGTGTAGATGTGGACACTAGTTAGGGGGGAGGCCTGAGGAGGGGGGAAATAATGACCACACTGGGACCGCCTGACTCTACCTTCTTGCTGACATCGGGTCCTTTTGCAGTTGGAGGTTTTTTTGGTTTTTTTGTTTTTTTGAGTTGGAGTCTCACTCCGTCGCCCAGACTGGAGTGCAGTGGCC